TCGGTTGTGCCATTCACAACAATGCAGAGTGCAGTTAGTAGGAATATGCTGGAGAGTTTGAGTGTGCCTACTTTCAGGGTTGGGTATACTATTACTACGGATGCTCTTGATGCTTTGTACAAGAAGGTATACTTAGTTTGGCATTCTCTTTTTTTCTTTCTTTTTTCATTTGTGTGTGTGTGTGTTGTTTGAATTGTTAAGGATTTGTTGGGTTGTGGTTAGTTTTTGTATAGAAATTGGAACTTTTTTGTTAGAGTAGTTAACATTTGAAATTGATCAAGTGGAGTAGGTATCTGGACGATTGGTACTCTCAAGTCTCCGGTTAAATATTTCAAAATTTGTAGATATGTGTTTAATCTGCTGTATCAATATCCCTATGAATGATCAATTGAATGTCATTGAGGACCCTTTAGTGGTAGCAAAAAATTTGACGCGGGAATTGAAAACAATAGCTCGATATTAACCTTTATTGGAGGTTTATATTAAAATCAGTGCTATGGGATAAGTGAGGGAAAGACTTTCACTTGTAGAGAATTCATTAATAAAAAAAGTAAGTCTTGTATTGAGATGATGAATCAATGATCCTTTTTTTCTATGAGATTGCTTATAGAAATCTTTCTTTTTTTTTTTCTTGGATTTTTTTAGCAAGTTGTGATCTTGGCAACTAATTATACAGATCAAGTCTAAAGGAGTGACCATGACGGCTTTACTAGCCAAGGCAACAGCTCTTGCTTTGATCGAACATCCAGTTGTGAACTCTAGCTGCAGAGATGGTAAGAGCTTTACATATAACAGCCATATAAACATTGCAGTTGCAGTAGCCATTGATGGTGGATTGATTACACCAGTTCTTCAGGATGCTGACAAGGTTAACCACTCATCAAGATCTTCTCAATTCTGTTTTTTTTTTCCCCTCTTAGCCTTCATCTGCTGGATTGTAACAGTAGTTCGTTTTTTTTTTTTCTTGTTTTTCTCTTAGACTGACATATACTCGTTATCGAGAGAGTGGAAGGACTTGGTCGATAAGGCACGAGCAAAGCAGCTTCAACCTAGTGAGTACACTACAGGTGATATGCAATTTGCTTCTACAATAATAACTGCATAATCAACATTTTGGCACATTTGCATTAATTGCTGACTGCGTGTTTTATTTCATTGCTTTCTAGGCACGTTTACGCTGTCTAACCTTGGAATGTTCGGAGTGGACCATTTTGATGCCATTTTGCCACCAGGAACTGTAAGTATATTAGCTTTTACACAAAACGCATTATTATCGTTAAAAATGTGTTGCCAAAAGAGAGGAATTAAATTCAATTTTATCACAGGGTGCAATTATGGCTGTTGGTTCTTCTCAACCTACTGTTGTCGGTACTAAAGATGGCCGAATTGGATTGAAAACTCAAATGCAGGTATGCTCTTAATCAGAAGAAAAAATAAAAATAAAAATAAATAATAAGTTCTCTTTCAAAATTACAAATTTGAAATATCATATAAAGTTGTAGTTGAAAATCTGAAAGATAATTCAAGTTACTAGTACAAAATGAATTATGGTGCTGCTTTGTTATATTGCCAGGTAAATGTTACTGCAGATCATCGCGTGATATACGGTGCTGATCTGGCAGCATTCTTGCAAACCTTGTCTAAGATAATTGAGGATCCGAAGGATTTGACTCTTTAAGATTCGTCTCATTTCGAGAAATTTTTGGCTATTTATTTAAACTCCCTAAATGATTTTTGTAGAAGTCTCGCTAACCCAATGTTCTTGGACTGCAAAAACCGTCGAGAACCTAAATGCTTGAGAAAAATAATATATTAGCTGGTCTTGTGCGGTTTTTGTCGGGTTAAAAATTCCCCCATCTTCTAAGGTGAATTTCGTAGCTCTCTTGCTTTAGAAGTTTGTTCTGTGTTCGTTTTTCCTGTTAGATTCAGGACAATTAGTTCAATGCTTTGTTTCTTCGTTTTTTGTGTGTCTGAAAATGTCGCTGTTCATCTTGTCGAAGAAGAATATGATTCTGTGAAACTACATTTCTGTAGCTGAAAGTAATTGATGCAATGGGGATTGAATATGATATGAGTGTGTGTATGTATAAGCTTTTCGAAATATTTTCTATGTGGGATGAAAAAAAGTTTACATGTTACAGTATAAGATGAGTATTCAGAGGCTTTCTTTCACACATATTTTATAATCAAATATTATTTGTTGGTGAAAACAACTAATATCCTCCCTATATATAATTTCCGAATGCGCTGAGCCTACGTGGCTGTTTTTGGTGCTTCAGAATCTTACTTGGCGAAGAATCATGCTTCATAATTAGGTTTGGACAAATAATATTGATATATTAATAATTAATAATCTAGGTTTGGACATTCCATAAATATTATTTAGCTAACTTAGATATTTTAATATCACTTGTACTAATATAACCTTTTAATTCCTTGTAATTTTACATTGTGAGATACTAAGTGACTAATATATCCCTGACTTTGATTTGTTTCTTTCAATTAGCTAGTGAATTGTAAATATATTTTAAAAGTTGATAACTTTTATATTTCTTTATCGGTTTTACATATATAATATATCAAATTAATCATGTTTTGATGATCTTCGATTTGACAACCATATTGTATATATTGAAATAAATAAATAAATTATATTTATATTTAGAATGATAAAAAAAATTTATATTTATTAAAATTCATTAGAAAAATAAAATTATTTCCCAATTGATATATTTATGTTTAATGTAGTTATATGTTGTAAGTTAAAAAAATTATTACAATATAACACAGGTAAGTCAGCACAAATAAAAGTTCATGCTAAATATATAAATAATATATATTTTTATAAAAGGTATTTATATTTTTAACTATTTTTTCTCATTAAATTTATATTTTATGAAAAAAAATTAGCACACATCCGTGTAATACACGGACATTGTACTAGTATATTTTATACAACAACATTATTGTCAATAAAATTCTAGCATGTAGATATTATTATTTTAATTAATCAAATCATTGAATATACAATTCAAAAAAACATTATTGTCAAAACAACTCTAGAATGTAGATATTATTATTTTAATTAATCAAATCATTGAATATACAAATCAAAAAAAAAAAAAAAAAAAANAAAAAAAAAAAAAAAATCTCATTCTGAACCTCAATTCATCAAATCTCAAATGAGTGTTCCAAAGTCAAGGTTTTTCCTATGAATAAAATTATAAATTGTTTGAAACTCTTAAAATGGGACTGAAAACACCAAAACACACAACTATAAAATCTCTCATTAATCATTAACATCACAGTACTCTCTAAACTTCTTTGGGGTCCCAACTTATTTCACATTAAGAAGTTATTTACCTATCATCACTTATATTTAGTGCCCACAAGTTGTAGCTGTTGAACTCAAATCATCACACATTCACAATCAACAAACCTTACCTTCCAACTTCAACTACTAGTACACTTTATTACCAAGCTCAACAAAAATAACTCATGGCCACTTTAGAAGAAGACTCATCATCTCTGGAGTTCAAGAAAATCGATGGTTTTCGTAGAGACGAAGAGGAGAAAATGGATGTGCTGTGGGAGAATTTGAACGACGAGTGCTCGAGAAATAATGACAATGGCTGCCCTTCGCCGGAGAAAGGGCTGCAAATGAGCTGCCGGAAGCCGTTGAGACTTTCGACAGCCAGCGGGCAAATTTTTTCCGGTAAGAAACCGATCATTTTCGTGTTCATCAAAGTTGTGAAGAAGGTTTTGTTCATGCAGAGTAGTACTCATAGGATCAAGAAGCAAGCATGGTGATGTTAATTAAGGTTATTATAATTTTTTTATAATTTTTATTCCAAGTTGCTTTTGTTTGGTTATTATTGAGAAAAAAGAATATTCATTAAGAAAAAA